ATATTGAGCAGCAAAATAAGGTATCAACACTCATCAAGTTTTAAGCCGTTCTGAACCCTAGTAAACCGGAGGAAAAACATAACAAGAGAAGAGTTCTCAGAGCGGAAGAGGTGATACGAGTAAAAAAATAAACTTTCCTCAAATATCGAAGTAAGTCTAAAATGTTCCGTTCTTAACTATGTACTTGAGTTACCTCAGTTTGTTTGAGGTAATCAAAGATCTGATAGCTGAGCTTGTCATAGTATTTGTCGGTAAATCTCACTTAGCCTTATAGAAATCAAGACTAAGATCTTTTCCATGCAGGAAGAGTAGTCAAGAGAGAAGAGGCTTTATTAGCCTCGAATCTCGTTAGGGCCTATACACTCCATATGCCTTATAAGCGTTACGTACACACAACACAAGTGCAGATAAACACAAATACAAACACTAACATTACAAGCTTGGAAATGAAAGGAAAGTTGATGAGACAAATGCTGTCTGGATACATCCACATCCACATCCATACCCACATTCATGCATGTGTGGTAAGCATAAAGCATTCAACCGAAGGATTGGACGCCCCATTAAGTGGGACAAGTTGGGAACAACCATTTATAGCCTTCGAGAAGTCGTCTTAAAGGATATCATCACGCTTTGATGATGTCTGTCATGTCGAGGCAAACGAAAGGTGAGCATGCAAGAACCGATTACTCAGAAGACTGCCTCGAGGACTTAGTCATACAATTCAACACTTGAGAAGTGTTGTTCTACGCCAGGGCGTGAGTGACCAAACCTTCCAGACTGAGAAAGTCCGCGCCAAGCGATGCTCTCGACGTCAACCGAACAGGTGGCGGAAGGATAGAGTACCGTATTTTCCGGCGTATAAGACGACCCCCCCCCCTTAGGAGCAGAAATTAATGGTGTGAAAAGTCGTCTTATACGCCGGAAAATACGGTACATACGAGGAAGCCCTTGGTTCATAAGTGTTGTGCTCACTTGCATTTGGAGTAAGAGCGTTTGGTGAAGAGATCCGAAGGTCGATCCCACCAGCAGACGAAGGCATATTCCATCCGGCCGGCCGTCGACTGGCTTCATGGGAACATTCTGGTTGATGCTGATTTCGAGCCAACTTCCGTCGATTCCTGTAAAAACGTGCTAAGCTTTCGTCCGTCGTATGACAGACACCATCAGAGCAGAGCTGTCGGTAAACTAATTATATGAGATGTATTCACCCTGTTTCGGTTTAGGTGATGAAGGTCTGGTAGTTGAATTTTCCCACAATCATGTGAGTAGAGCTGACGTTTTCATTGACTTTCGCATTGCCTCACTTTCCCAAAAGGTGTTCTTATCCAAACAGAAGTGGACTGCAGTTTCCACCTCGCATAGATCCTATCAGCACCCCAAGCCTGAGTCGAACCATGACAGTGCCGCGTATAATCTCGACATGTTAACCACCACGCTACATTGCCACGAGTGCCCTTGCGTCACAAGGCAGATGTGAAGTTCCCATGTTATTGAAGATATGAAGACCAAGATGTTGTTGCCACTGGTGTGGTCGCAGTCTCCATTTGATTTGTAGATATGGGTTGACCTCGTTGTCGCAACTTGGTCTTGTTGTCAGAGGAACTAAGTATAACGCACCTAGTCCGAAGTCGTCTGCCATAGTAGTTGCCATGATTCCCAGCATCAGCAGTGGACTTGGTGCATTCTCAAACGTTTCTCCAGCATCATAGTCGGCATCATCAGTGAGCTTTGCCATTCGCCGCACCAAGCTAAAAACTCCCTCGACAAACATTCTGTCTCTTTGACGACTTCGGACTAGGTGCGTTCTACTAAGTCGCCCTGACAACAAGCCTAAGTTGCGACAACGAGGTCAACCCATTCACATGTGACGTTCCTCACCCTGGATGAGAACACCTTTTGGGAAAGCAAGGCTATGTGAAATTCATTTGAAACGTAATGTCTACTCATATCATTGTGGGAAAATTCAGCTACCAGTCCTTCATCAGCCTAAACGATAAAGAGTGAATAGATATCATATAAAGGTCAGAATACAGTTGTAGGATTGATACCCTGAACTGAGGATGATGATTACACGACGGAAAAAAGTTCAGCACGCTTTCGCCGGAATCGAAGTGG